CAATCAGTAAAGCTATCTATCATAGCAAGCCTGGCAATAAATATTTGAGAGGGATTGGGCAAGCCTTTTTGCTCCCTTTGCTGGGCTGACTAAGGGAAGCTACTTTCTGTGCTTCAGGCTAAAGAAAGCATCCTAAGATCTTATGGTGGGTTAAGTACCCTTAAGGCCTGCAAGGCCTGTGTACCCGGGGGGACACAGAGCCTGGACAAAGACCAGACCCCGGGTGGTGGCAGCGGTTACCCCAGGCTTGCGGGTGTGCTGCAGGAAGGGGGTTGGCCAGATGTAGATGCCCCAGGGGAGGCACTCAAGGCTTGGTTTTTGGTTGGGTGCAGTGAGGCAGGTGGCTCAACACAGGAGCGCCCCTTACTGACCTACCACAGCATGTGTTGGAGCAGGTGTCGGACACACGTATAGGTGTCCCAAGTGTCCTTCCTCAAACTGCTTTCCCAACTATACAGTTGGTTCAATAAAAGTTATTAAAAAATCCTTGCTGGAGGCTGGATCTGGCCTGTGGGCCTGGGTTTGTACACCCCTAATCTGAGGTGCTTGGTCTATGTCCATCTCCACTCCTAAGGTGATTTTGGTATATTCCCTATCCAGCAAAGCACTAGTTACAGGTAGTAGCTAGTGCTGTTAGTTTTTTCCAGAGACACAAACCTCCTCTTTGCCTGTCCCTTCCCAGACCTCAGAGACCTGGGATTCAGCATACATTCACTCCAAACATACCTTGCCATCATTGTTAGCTGCCTTAGCATGTTCCATTTTCTCTGGAGGAACTTGGACTGAAGTTGGATTGAACATACTTAGTGAGGACCTTCCCTGATTTCTTGTCCCCCAAGTCTGTAGTGACCACAAGTATGACCTGGGACTAGGATCTTTGTTCCTCTGGAGTTCTTGGACTTATTGTTTTAGGAGTCCTGGAACTGCTCTGTCTCTCTGTCTCCAGCTCCAATTCTCTCTTTTGCTGTCAATCTTCATACTCTACCTTTTTTTTGTAGCCCTTCCAGCTGTAGTTCACTTTCCCTTAAGATCAATCTCTATTGCTCAGCTCTATTGCTCCAGTTGTGGGAAAGCATTATGATGAAGGCTGGCTGCTCTAACCATTGTGGTCACCAACAGTACTGTCCTTCCATGCTTGCAGGCTGAGCTGCCATCCTAGCACCAGTTTTCTAGCCAGTCTGGGGTCCTGTGCTCAACTGTTCATTACAACGAGTCTGATTACCTGGCCTTTCTTTGCCTTTCCCATGGTTACACCTCCTTTTGTGGAATAGTTCTGCAGCCCTCCTTTTAACTGCTTGTATGCTGAAACCTTAGCCCTAGCTTCAGGTAGTTCAAGTAGGCACTCTGTGATTCTACTGCTGATGCCACCTGTCTATGATCTATGACGTGAGGTCAGAAAGTCGGGGGCGGGGGGGTGTTGTGTAAAAAGTGTGCTACTACTGGAGTTTGTGTGTCTGTGTCCTTTACTTCTCCCTTCTCTAGTTTGACAGGCCTCCAGGTTGGTTTTTAACTGTCACTGTACCTGGTTCTTTCCTCAGACCTGAAGAAGAAAGCTTCACATTCATAAGCTTATCCAAGTTCATCCCAAATGCAGTTGGTCCAATAAAGGATATTTTTGTCGCTGACAAATCCTTGCCTCATGTAATTCTGGGGCCATGATGGTTGCAACTTCACTACAGTGCTACCAAAACAAGAACTAAAATATTGTTTTGTTAGGTTTAGGGTCAAAATTCTTACCAAGTTGAGTGTTTGTATATATTATAGAACACCAAACATTAGGAATATTTACACAAAAGATTAAAATTTAAGTAATTTCCTGCTTCTTTAAATGCTTTCTTTTAGTTTGTAAATTAAGGTGGTTTCCAAATATTCATGAAAGTCTACTGTGTTGTACATGTGGATTTTTTTCTCTTTAGGAAAGGAATCCTTGATGAATACAGTCAAATCACCAGTCTTGTAACAGAAGAAATAGTGAATGTCCATAAAGAGATTCAGACTTCCGTTGAACAGATTGACCCAAACACAGAGTACAGTGGCTTCATAGAAACTCACAGGTATATTTTTTCACTTTCATCCATTTTCCCTGACAAAAGAAAACCATATTCTGTATTGCCTCTTCACACTGCAGAAATGATGCTTCATTTTCTTTCAGTTGGTTTTTCTAAAATTGCTCCTTGTCTGTCATGATTTTATTATAGTTTATAAGGTTGTCTGAGTTGCATGTCCCCACACATTTAAACTGTGCAAGGACTTGTTTTATAGGTAAAGGAATCTGACACTAAGTTACCAGTTAAAAAAAAAAAAAAGGTATTACAAGTAATATCTGTTAAAAAAAAAAAATGCAACTAGACACAACTTTTGGAGGTAGAAATTTTGTTAGAGAAATTTACCACAAAAAATGGCGTGCATCTGAGAGTGCAGTGTAGAGTAGAGATTAGTAGTACTTTGACTAGTTTTAAACTAGTTATCTTGAGTACAAGTAGTGATCTAAACTATGGCAGCACAGCTCTGCCAAGTAATTTACCTTTCTTCTTGGCAGTGTGTGAGATAGCTAGGGACCTACGTAAATTGTGGCGGATGTTCATAGCGCAATGGCACCTTTAGTTTCTGTTCACTGCATGTCCTCCCCACTGCTGAGTGGCTGACAGACCCAAGCTGCAGCATTAATTGCCTCTTGGCCACTCAGTGGCTGTCGGTGTGCTTCAAATTCCACCATGATTTAGGTAGGTCCCTAGTTATAGCTACTTATCTGTGACTGAAGTGTAGTCATGCCCACTGTTACCTATATCCTGTGCTCTTTCAAGCCAGCTTTGTCTTAAGAATTAATTTTACTTGCCTTTGATTGATCAGTCTTCTGTTTCAGGTAAATAGACTCACTAAGAGAAATAGTCTTACTAAGCTAGTTGGGTCCAATCATTTATATGCAGTCTTGCAACCGAATCGCTTGGTGTGAACTGATACACCCAGATGAATACCCTTTCAAAGTCTTAATTAGATAGTGAACTTAATCCAAGGAGTTGTCTTAGCTTTTGTTTTCTAGTATGCTTTTTAAGACTGCACTCTTATTTCAAAGACGAGCAAATGTATCCAATTTCAAATCTTCTTTACCCTTCATAACTTTGTAAAGTTTTGGACATGCGTTACTTTTGTAGGATTACAAAATGGCTCAGCACTTAGGATAGAAATAGACACCACTGAATGAACTAGATTAGCTTTGCTGCAGTGTGTTGTGGCACAGCTAATCTGCTTTACTGGGCAAAATGCATATTGCCCTTTGTCCCAAATTTCATGTGGGACAAGGGGTGATGTTGTCTCTCCGCATTCCCAGCCCAGCCAGACCCAAGGGACAGGACTGACAGAGCAGAGAAAGTGGGGCTTTCCCCTGCCCATTCAGACCTGAGGAAGGAGGTTTGGCTGAGCAGGGAAACCTGGGTCTGGTTGAGTGGGGGAAGCAGGGCTTTTTGGTGACCAGCCAGACCCAAGGCATGGGTCTGGCTACACAGAGAAAATGCTACAGAAGTGAAGACATCTGCTGCAATATAGTGGCAGAGTCTGCTACCACTTTTTGTCATGCCTCAATTTTTTTTCATGGTAGCACAAAAATCAGTCGTGGCATAAATAAGGTATTTGTTCCCTCCCTTAAAGCTGCTGCTGCCGCCACCCTGTTTGCTGAACAGTATTTTGGTGGAGCAGGGTGGTAGCAGCTCTGTCACAGCTTCTGTAGTTGCATCTTTGCTTGTTACAGGCTGTCAAGGAGTCAGCCACTCTCCCATCCTCCACCTGTTGGAGAGGAGGAGGGAGAGCAGATTTGTCTGGGATGCTGGGGGTTTGAAAGAACCCCTGTAAGTACTACATATAACTGTGTACTCCTTGCATGTAGCATTACACAGTGTAGTGCAACAGAGAAGTTCCTGTTTGAAACAGGAACTTTTTTATTGGTACTGTTATTTGACATCTTGGTTATTTTGGTTACTTAACAGGTCACCAGAGGTTGTAGAACAAGAAATAGAATTTGATACATCTTTACTGGAAGAAAATGAAAATCTTCAAGCCAATGAGATTATGTGGAATAATTTAACAGCAGAAAGCTTGCAAGCCATGTAAGTACTTAAAAACATCTTTTTGGATTGCTGTCATATGTTTGAGTTCACATACTCAGCTCATTGCACAATTCCATGTCATCAGTTTCTCAAATGTTATAAGGCCTAATTTAAAAAATAAGACTTTAGCTTTACTTCAGAACTCTTACATACTGGTATTTTTTTATTGTTCCTTTTTTTCCTGGCGCAGGCTCATGACCCTTTAAAAATTGCAGTGTGGGGCTAATTTCATGGTATCCGCACAGTCTGCAAAATTGTGATTTTTCTCAGGGCCCTGCAAATTTGTTATAGTTAACCACCAACGTAGAAGAATCAAGAAGACGACTAAAAATGGAAAAATAAAGTGTCCAGTCACTGGAGATTAGGAGAAAAATAGTTCTTAATTACAAATGTTAGGAGATATATTGTATTCTCTTTTTTCTATTTTGCTTAGACATGAAAGCTTCCAGCATGCAGTTTGTAAGAGAATCATGTATTGCATAATGTACTTAACACAAAGCTTGAGATTTAGCAAAAAGAACAGCAAAATAAACTGTTTAGAAGTCTTTCTTCATCCTTAAGTCACTATGTGCTTGTGCTTCCTTCATTTGTTTAATGCAATTCATCAGCTTATTTAAATTAAAATTTGAAGGAAGTGATAAGTCATTGAAAAGATAGAGTAATTATTTCTTATAGTTTTAATTATTCTTAATGAGCTTTTTGATGTCATACTACAAAGAAAGAGACAACCTTTTAGTTGCTAAAATATGACTGTTGCATCCCAAAATAGCATAAAATCTAGTTTGGACTGTTATATGACATAAAAGTAACAGATAATAACATTACAGTGAAAGGAGGGATGAACAGGAAAAATAATAAAAATGCTTTTATGGGTTGTGCTATATATAACACAGAACCATTAATAGTTTGGAATCTGATTACTTTGGAGAGACTGAGTTTTAGAGTAAGATAATACATGTAGGGAGCAAAGCAAAGTCAAAAGTGGGAAGCAAGAACTGCAACTGTTTTTTGAAAAAGGATTTGAAGTGGGAGAGGTAGATTCTAGCTGCACAAGGGTGGGCTTTTTATCAGAAAGAAGAAAAATGAGTAGCTTGTTAGAAAAGAGCTTATGGGAGAGTCGATGTTTTTCTTCACCCCATTATGTTACTACAGTGTAAACAATTAATACCCAATTGCTTTTTGAGAAAGATGTTTCTTAATTTGATATTTCAGAATTCAAACCAGGAATTTAGAATCAGACCCAGTGGTTATGAGAATGCATCATGAATACTTTTATTGTAACAAACAATGTGTTTGTTAAATACTGTTATGAGGATTATATAGTTTCTCATAAACTCATGTAAAGTGTATTTAGGTAATGGACTCTGAACCTGGAATCTCTGGGACCTCAATTTCATTAGAAACATTAAGTGTGAATTATATTATTGAGTAAAAAAAGTAAGGAATATTTTAAAGACTATGGTTTAATACTTGAGGCCTTTTTCAGTTCTGATTTTTTTCTGACTATATATATAGGTGATACCTAACAGAGAGCAATTCAGTCACATGAATTATCACTTTTTTTTTTTACCTATGGAAACTAAATGTTGATGTGTTGTTGGGATCGTGCATTAGATACAATCGTGCCTTATTGTGGGTGTAGGGGGAGCCTGATCTTGGGTTTCCCCTGGATTGGCAAGAACCAGGCTTCTGTTGCTGGGTTCTCCCTTCATTGAGGGGGCTTCCAGCCATGGGGGCCACGTATAGCAAGGACCAAGAGTTCTGGATTTGGAAGTTGTGGGGAGGTGGCTGCACCTCTCTGGATCGGAAGGAAAAGAACATGCTGATGGATTTCTCCTGACCAAAGACTTTAAATAAGATCCCAGAAAGAGATCTATAGCTGTTGTGATAGAGTGGAATTATACTGAATGGGGGAGTCATCTGCTTGGCTTGATCTCGTATAAGGCTTTGCAGACCAAGAATGAAAGTATGGTTTTGACTTATATTCCAAAAACAGCCGATGAAGAGAGAAATACACTCTGTTAATGCATTTTTCTCACCATGTGTTACTGAGGGAACTGGCTCTTTGTGCTCTGGGAAAACATGAATACATTTACAAGGTGAGAAGTGTCTTATTAGATGTAGGAAAATTATAACAATCAAGCCTGGACATTATGTATATACTAGCCAAATACCTGTCAAGAATGACGGGGTGGGGGAGTGGGGCCTGGGATGGAGTGCCGCCACCTAACACCCCATGCTGCCGCTGTTTTGCCTCTTGCAGGGAGCGCTGCTAGCCTTGGCTCTCCCATCCCCTGCCTGGTCCTCGGTGAGGCTTCGGAATCATGGCAGTGCTCCCCTATGCTCGGAGCACTCTGATTTTCTGTTTCCATCAGCCAATCAGAGCGCAAATAAAGCGTTACAGATGGACAGACAGAGAGATTTAGGCTTTTATAATATTAGAATATTATTGCTTAAGTCTTCATGCAATATAACAAGTTCAGTTTTCTTGTCATTTATAGCTGGAAAAGGTATCTTTCACAGCTGTACTTACTTGCATGTGATAAGCAGCTTTGATATATGTGAATAGTAGTACTACGGATTGTCTTAACCAGGAGGGACCATGTTATGGCCCACAGGATGGATCTGGCCTGCAGAACCATGTGTAAACTAGCAGTTGTCTAGGGTTGGAGCAATTAAGACTGCTGCTGGCTGTCTGTCTGTCTGTCAAATTTCCAGACCTCTAGGGAGCTCTACAGGCCAGATCTAGAGTGAGGAACTGTTTCATTTAGCCTGCTGGCCTTCCCACTGAGCTGGAAATTTGATGGTGAGACAAGTGGCAGCTGTTGCAGCTCTGAGAACAGCAGCATCAAATTCTAGCCCTGCAGGCCAGATGAAATGGCATTGCATTCCACATTCAGGCCATGGACTGGCCCCGTCCTCTGGATCTGGCCTGTGGATTGGTCCTGCACTACTCATGTGGCCTGAAGGACTAGATGATTTGGACCACCGGTCTTGAGAATCTCTAGGTTGTGCTGTAGAGGCACTGAATTTTTCCATTTTCTTCACCATTTTTACAGACACCTTTCTAATGTTTAGTTTCAACTCTTCAATCAGTTACTGATTTCACCAAAGCCATTGGATAGCTGAGAAATAGTGCCTTTTGTCTTTGATGTCATGGTGACAGGCAGTTGTGTGGCACTTTTATGGCTTGCTGATGTTTTACTCTGACCTGTTTCATGGTTTAGCCAAGTAGTTACATGTGTATATTACTGAAGAACATGGGGAGAGAGGATAGATTTGTACAGGACACCAAAATTGGAGAGCTCGGTAGATACAGCCTAAGTGAGTTGGAGTTTGCTGGTGTATAACTGAAGTTACCTTGGCATAATCCTGCTTAATTCTTAAGGTCTGATAGCCAAATTCCATTATCAGCAGTTGCCAGTGCTGGTTGAAGTCCAATAATATGAATATGTTACTCTTGCCTGGTGAAAAGATCCATCAACAATGACATTGCCTGAAGTCTGAGAAGAGTTAAAGATATTGGCATTGTCTAGAGCATGGGTAGGCAATTATTTCAACTGGAGGCCCACTTAATGGGTTTTGGTGAGCTATCAAGGTAGCCCCACCCCTTGACAGTTGCCATGCCTGCTGGCTGCCATCTTGGGACTGGAAGTCCTGCCCCTGGCCCCTGACATTTGCCACAGGAAGTCCCTCCTCTTGTTCCCACAAGTGCTTCTTTTGGGAAGTGGGGTTTGGCCTCTTGAGCCAGAAAAAAACGAACAAATTATATACTTGATCTGAGCCTTCATATATTTTAATTCTATTTCAAAAATATTTTTGTCCTGATTTGTGAATGTTTGCATCATGTAGATAGAGGTGATTGCATAATAGCACAAAAATAGTCTTACTAATGTATTTTGTGTTGGGGGTATGGGGTTTGGGGGGAGCTGTGGGTGTGCGGGAGGGTGTGGGGGGGTTTGCAGAAGGGTTGGAGGTATGTGGATGTGGGGCGATAGAGGTGTGGGGTGTTTGTGTGGGGTGTGGGTATGTGGTTTGTGGGGAACTGTGGATATGTGGGGGGCCTGTGGGGTGTGTTGAGGGGGGAAGGAATGGGGGTGTATGGGTGTGTGTATGTATAGTGGGCTGTGCGTGCGGGGGCCAGTCCTACAAACATGCCCTTCCATTGCGCACAGCCCCTGCAGCCAGTGGTAGTGGCAGGCAGAACTCCCAGATGGTGCGCAGTCCTGGGAGCCCCAGGACTCCATGTGGCTGGGTCAGCAACTCCATTGCATGAGGCTCATGCCTGGACTTTGTGCCACTGCGGGGAGCCCTGCTCTATGAATCTGGTAGTACTGGTCACGGAGCTGGGCCATTGTAGCAGAGAAGTGGGTGGAGCTGACTCAGCTCCATAGTGCGGAGCTCCCTGCCATTCTCCATGACCTGCACCTAGCAGTGAGTGCGGCTGGGCTGCCTGCTCCATCACACGTGGCTCCCTCCAGAGGCACATGGCTTGGGCTTAGAGCCTGGGAACTGCATGCGAGCCCTGTGTGATGGAGCCAAGCAGACCTCACGCTTCTGTTGGCCTGCCCTGGGTCCCTGCCAGCCCTGGCCCCGGCTCACGGGCATGGCCCCTTTACTCCTGCCCAGCTTCTGCTTTGCTCCCTCATGCCGCTGCTGCCACTCCTCCCTTTGCCCATCCATCCATCCCTCCCGCTGCCAGTGCTACCACCACTCCCACCCCCCACCGCCACTGCTACCACCATCACCACTTCCTTTGCCACTGCTGCCCTTCTTCTGACACTTCCTTATCTTCCCTTTGCCCACCACCACCCTTCCCCTATCCATTGCCACTTCTCTACCTGTGGGGCTGGGGCTAGGGCCATCCTGCAGGTGAAAGTGGGAGCGCAGTGCCTGCCGCCTGCGCAGGAGTGAGCAGGAGACCTGCTTGCAGGCCCGATAAAATTGCCTGGCAGGCTGGATGTGGCCTGCAGACTTTATTTTGCCCACCCCTAGTCTAG